ATGCTCATTCACTGCCTGGTAGGGCATCTGAACATGCCTCTGGTCCAAGCATGTCCTCAGGCCCTGGGTAAAAAGAGCACTAACGTGACTCTTGCCACTGGTAAACACAGAGGCGGCACTGGTTCTTGTAGGTATTCTCATCAGTGCCACACAATAACTATTTATATACAATACAGATTGTTTTCATGAGATGAGGAATGCATACTGGCTAGAAAAAACAGGGAAGTAAAATACCGCGTTTGATAAGCTGTTATTCAGATTTTCATATGGAACAGCTGAGAGAATGGAAACCAGAGGATATTTACATGTTCTGGCCTACTGGGAACATACCAAGAGGCTGCATTACATTCAGGAATGTTGCCTTGTGTGCAAACCAGGAAACCACTTGTTGCTTGCTCACCCAGCAGCAGAACTAGAGAGAGGAAGGGCAAGCACTCAGCATGAGAGATTTGTGAAAACGTAACAGTGGAAACCCCGAGTATTACACTTACACTAAACAAGCTTGTTGCACACCTTTCTCAAGCCTACCAATGCACTGCACTATGTAAGGGAAACCCTACTGACATTGAAAATTACAAAGAGTTACACCCTCCTGTGCTTTTGAAAATTGCCTTTCTGAGGAAGGAATTTAAGCTGAAGGATTTACGGAGAAATAGAAGGAAATTTCCTTGTTTTATCCTTCATGCAAAAAACTGAAAGCTGTGATTCACAAATGGGAACATTCCCCCTAGCAAAGGAGCAGGTACTGTGCTTTCTCATTTTCCAAAACTCTGAGTCACTTTCTCTGTGTTTAAGCGAACATCACAAATGAAGTTTAAGCTGCTCTTGAAAGCACTTAAGTCTTTTGATACAGATGGCTACCTTTCTTTCATTATCACCATCTCTACTTAGAGTACAAAGGAAATTAAAAAATCCCATCCAGTGCTTGCCCACATTCACAAATCACATACAGATCAGATTAAAAGTGTTTCCTGTTCCATGGGAAAATGAAAATGGATGAAAAAGTTGCATGCAGGGAGTACAACACATAAATGCACTAATGCACACAAATCGCCGTCTTGCATTTTGCCTCCATGGAGCTTTGGCTTCCACCAGTAACAAAAGTTTTTAATATACCATTTCAACTCAGGCAGCTCTGGCAGTCACAGCTACATAAATTGAAAATTTCATTTGATTCATCAATTCAGTACCAAAATGTAAACTTCCCATCAAAAAGCATTTGTAACAGATACTGTCCACTATTATTTCTTCTACAAGATCAACGCTGTCATTCCCAGATGTCCAACACCATCTGTGAGCTGTGAAATTTAAGTCTGTGAAGTACAGCTCCTGTTTACCATTCTGTGTATTGGTAGACAGACCTGCGAGTGGCAGGCAAGAGTTGGAGGTACAGTCCTCTCACTTCACCACTGGCTCTGCCACGTCCATGTGGAAGGAAGAATATACCCCTGGACTTCTAGAAGAACATGAATGAGAAAATACCAGGGGGTACGGTGAATTAAAGTTCCAGGCAAAAATGCAGAGCTGAAAGAACAGCCTTCTCAACCAATTTTCTCTTAGCTACTTCCTTAGCTGCGCTCATAAGCAGTTTTCTCAAATTTACTTCCTGTATAAAACCATTTGCTGAATTGTTTCAGGGAATCATTTCAGGTCTTCACTGAGTTCCAGTGCAGCTTGTTGTACATCTTAGCTCAGCACTCTGTTGAACTGTTTTGCTCAAATATGAAAATCATGTTCACCTTTGCATTCCCTGACTACACAAAAGAAAGAAAAAAATCAAAGCTTCTTGACTATTCAGGTTAGCAAGAACAAAATCTGTTTTTTATGACTACTCAGTTCAAATCAGGGCCTGTGTGATCATTCCTGATGAGAAAGCAAACACATGAAAAGTTCAAACAATAACAGCTTTTAAAAATGTGAAGGAATATTCCAGCACAGCATGGCTATGAACAACATTTCTTCATCCATGTAATAAGATAAACAGAGGAGATCCTTAAATATTTCGGAGTTTGCCATCACATTCCCTGCCTTCAGGTGAAATACAATTTGTTCATAAGTGAAAAAAAACCCCATGTTAAACCAATCTTAAACCGGCAATAACTGCATCGGTAATCGCACTTCATGTGTGCTTCTGCTGTAGAAACTAAGAGAATTTTTCATGACATATTGCAAAAACACTTTAGCATGTACCATGCTCGGTTCTTCTGATATAAAAAATGTAACCAAGAATACCACATGCAAATGAACGTATAACATATATGCAGTGCAGGTGCTTCATTCTTTCCACACCGCTCTTTTAATGTGTTTGTTGGAACTACTTTTTCTATCTCATGTTAATTTAGACAATCTTTCTTCCTGGGTTTGTCTTTAACAAGGAGAAAAATTGTACATAATTGTGAGAAAAATCATGAAAGCTCCACATGCAGGAATCCATCCTTTCTTTCTTCACCTTAATTCCATGTGGAGCCCCTCCAAATCAACTACTTGGGGTGGAGGAAGGGATGCGCTGTCCCTATTAAGAGGCATCATGGAAGAGATTGCCTTGTTAATTTAGGTCGTCTTCCATAAACCACCCTTTGCTAGGAGTTGATTTGTCTCCCATGGGTAAAACACTGGATGCACCGACACCAGTAGGAATTTTACATTTGATTTGGCCAGTATTTAATTCCACAAAGGTATACAGTCTCAGCCACCGCAAAATCCCACCCCCAGGTAACCGTGTGGTGGTATGAACTATGCAGTTGGGCATACAGCTGTGATGGGGTGACAGTGCTTGGCACTGGCACAGAGCTTGGATTTATACCCAGGAGAATGCCACAGAAAAAAGCCACAGGTCTTTCTTCCGGAGGAGGGCTGCGACTGGAGGACTTGTATCCGTACAATTTGAAGTTCGATCCTGCAAATGCTGGAGGGCGGGTGATTTACTGAGTGACTTGCCCCAGGGCATCCTGTGGGGCAGAAGGTGTCCCAGGCCTCCCCAGGCAATCGGGATACTTCTTTATTGTATTCAGGCACTCCGGCAGAGACAGCGATACCATATTTCAGGCGCTGAAGCCTGGTAACTTGAACGATCATTTCTTCTCAGCCGTGTGCTCATCCTCCATCCATCCGTCCGTCCGTCCGTCCATCCATCCCCCTCCAGCGGAATAAAAAACAGGAATTAAACACCCTTCGCCGCCGTTCCGTTCGCTCCTGACCCACGCAGCGG